CTTACGTCCGGCTGCAAGCTGCCGTTTTCAGTGCGATGACAAGTGGCCGCCACTCTAGATAGGATCTTGCTCTCCCTGCTCACGAGCTTCTCTTCACTGCGCCACTCTTGGCATGTGGCAAGCACCCGCCCCGGTGGTGCCCCTGGGAGGAAGAAGAAACCGAGACGACTCATGGCCTGCCGCTGCGAGACCGTTTCTGAAAGTGAAACGCAGGCCTTGTCAGGTTCTCGCTCATCCACCCACCCTCCTCGACCTTCCCGACGATACCAGCGGGCCCGCCTCCACCTAGAAGACTGGTGCTGGGGGGTGGGTGTTCCCTGCTTCCGGCTACTGCATATACCTGAGCTAGGGCCTGAGAGGCCTCGCTGGAGCCGAGGCATAGCGGCGTGATTTCGGACCTCCACCACCCTCGTCATGTCCCGGGCTGTGTGGCCTCAACCCTAGCCGGCCCGCTGTTCCTAGGGTTGCGCGAGCTGTCCGAAGCTGTCACAGCTAGGGTTGCAAGACCTCAAAAGCCGGCCATCCACCACCCGAAAATGGCCGCCCTCCCCTCCAGAGCGCCGCCACAGCCGTCGTGCAAAACGGCCCAACCACCGACACGACCGCCACCGTCCGGCGGCAAGGCATACGCTCTGAGGCCGTAGAATGGGTACGGCTGCATCTAGCTCTTTGCGCGGGTCAAGTGTACCTGGTCTCCCCTTGATGGTCCTAGGCGGGCTTCTTCACAGGAGTCGATCTTGGAGAGGGGCAGTGCTCACTCTGCACTCTCTGGTCGGCCTGCTGTATCGACCCGTCGTGGCTTCACATCTACCTCGTGCCAGCGGCTCTCCTCGGCACCAGAGCGCTCCATCGAACGCCAGAGCCTGTCCTGGGGCGGGTCCCCACGCCCTTACAATCATACGCATAAAAAAACCCGGACTCAATCGATTGTACTGCGGTGGTGTGAGTGAATGCACCATGAGCAAAAACCTGACTTGGCCTGCGTTCAACGCGACCCGAGGGCATCTCCCACACTGCCGCACGCTAGCTACACTCACGATCCCCACAGGACATTCGGTTACTCCAGCGGGCCGGGGCGGGTGTCCCCCGTCGGGAACTGCCTGCCCTGTCATCAAGAGCGCTATTTAAAAGGTGATCAGCGCTGTGGCACCTTCTTTCCGTTGCCTCACCAGCTCTTTCGTGCCGTCCCCGCACGGCAGGGCTTCGCGTGGAAAATCACATCCTCGCGATTCTCGGGCTTTGGCTGCCAGCGGATGTGGCTGGCGCAAATACACTCCGAATTACCGCATATGTGAGTAGCCTCGTGGTCTTTGCTCGGCGGAGGCCCGTGGACAGCCGCACATATCCAGCGGTGCAGTCGGACTATGCGAAGGCGGCCTGACCCTGTGCGCGGCCAAGTCAAGTCTTTCCGCGTCTTCTTCATGCCTGACGGCGGGTGGGTGCGCCGTCCTTGCACGCGTATGTAGGAGCGCTTGCCGTACCGCTCCTTGCTCTTCCAGACAACAAAGGATCCTGCAGCTTTGGCCGCATCTGGGATCACACACGAGTCGGTGAGGCGCGTGCCGCCCTTGATCGAGTCGAGGCTCATCGCCCGATCCAGCAGAGCGCCGCCCCCGGTGACCCAGCCGAGCACCGCACGGAGGGTGTCTGCGGCGGGAAAGCCTTTGGCATCGAGCAGGCGTACGCGGCGTGCGCCGCGTGCCATCTACACGGTGTTTAAAAGCGGCGATCGCGGATATTCGAAGCTCGTTTTCTTTTTCTCGCTACGGCGTGTCACTGGTGACGAACCCCTGCTCCTTGGTGCTCTCGATGGCTGCGAAGCGGCGGCGGCTCGACATGGAGTCTCTGGCGCTCGAAGAGAGCGTTCAAAAGCGCATTGCTGCGTCGTATCTGATCAACTTTCGAGAGTACAGTCCGGCCGAAGCCGCCGCGGCCACCGGCTACACGCGAGCATCAGATGCAGCACTTTGGGCAAAGCGCCTGCGCTCTGCGTGCACGCCATACAAGCAATGGGGTAAGAGGCGCGGCCCTGCGCCCATCATGACCGAGCAGGACGCGGATGCGCTGGGCGAGGCGCTCTATGACGATCCAATGGGCACGGGCGTCGGCCGCGTGGCGTCCACTCTCAACATGCCTGACGTGAGCACGTCCACTTTATACCGCGGGCTGATTGCGCACGATTGGCGCGTTCAGCCGCCCGTGGGCGACCTTGGGCTGGAGAATGACGCGCCAAGAAGGCAGATACGTCTCGAATTCTGCAAGAGGGCCGCTCGACGCTCGCTTCACGTGAAGGGAACCTTCTCCGACTCAAAGTACTTTGGTGGCGGCGGCTCTTTTGTGCCAAATCCCTACGGCAAGAAGTGGGCGCGAGACGGCAAGCCCCGGTGCATAGATCTACGCAAAGCGTCCTTCAAACAGCACGTGTACGCCGCCATCACGCCGTACGGCGCGTCCGACATCTACTTTGCTACCGGGACTACCGGCATCGCGCACGGCTACTTGAAGGAGCGCAACGTGAAGAAGTCCGCGCTGAAGGCGGCCGCCCAGGCACTTGGCCTCGACGTGTCGGGAACAAAGGCCTCGATCATGGAGCGCCTCTTGCAGCATGCGGGCGGCGATCCGGACAACCCCAGCCTCGTCGCCCATCTGGGCTCACGCCCCATCCGGCCGGGCGTCGGAAACGAGGAATATGTGGATATTTTGCTTGGCCACGGACCGTACAGTGGCCAGAAGGGGCTCCTGCGGGATTGCCAGGATAGATTTGCGGGGACTCGGTACGCAGACAGCTGGTGGTGGCAGCAGGATGGCGCGAGCGTGCACACGCAAGGCCACACCGCGAGGGGCGAGGCGACGGCCGAGGCGATCAAGTCGGTGGCGCCGAACCAAACCACGGACTGGCCGTCACGGTCGCCTGATTTGTCGTTGATTGAAAGCACTTGGGCATACGCCGAGCGGCTGCTGTGGACCGATTACAGAGACCAGTGGACCGACGCGGCTTCGATGCGCGAGGCGCTGAAGAAGCTCTGGCGTGAGCGCATCACGCCAGAGTACTGTAAGAACTTGTTCGGCTCGTGGGAGGGGCGGCGGCGGGGGTGTATCGAGGTGGGCGGCGGGAAAGTGAAGGGGCGTTAGTGTGATTCACGCATGCTCTCATGACAGCTGTAAAAATTCCGCCTCCCATGGTATGCGACAGCAAGAGCGATGTGTGTTCTGCCGCCTCACCAGTGACCGAGCGGCCCACACTGCCGCACGCTAGCTACACTCACGATCCCCACAGGACATTCGGTTACTCCAGCGGGCCGGGGCGGGTGTCCCCCGTCGGGAACTGCCTGCCCTGTCATCAAGAGCGCTATTTAAAAGGTGATCAGCGCTGTGGCACCTTCTTTCCGTTGCCTCACCAGCTCTTTCGTGCCGTCCCCGCACGGCAGGGCTTCGCGTGGAAAATCACATCCTCGCGATTCTCGGGCTTTGGCTGCCAGCGGATGTGGCTGGCGCAAATACACTCCGAATTACCGCATATGTGAGTAGCCTCGTGGTCTTTGCTCGGCGGAGGCCCGTGGACAGCCGCACATATCCAGCGGTGCAGTCGGACTATGCAAAGGCGGCCTGACCCTGTGCGCGGCCAAGTCAAGTCTTTCCGCGTCTTCTTCATGCCTGACGGCGGGTGGGTGCGCCGTCCTTGCACGCGTATGTAGGAGCGCTTGCCGTACCGCTCCTTGCTCTTCCAGACAACAAAGGATCCTGCAGCTTTGGCCGCATCTGGGATCACACACGAGTCGGTGAGGCGCGTGCCGCCCTTGATCGAGTCGAGGCTCATCGCCCGATCCAGCAGAGCGCCGCCCCCGGTGACCCAGCCGAGCACCGCACGGAGGGTGTCTGCGGCGGGAAAGCCTTTGGCATCGAGCAGGCGTACGCGGCGTGCGCCGCGTGCCATCTACACGGTGTTTAAAAGCGGCGATCGCGGATATTCGAAGCTCGTTTTCTTTTTCTCGCTACGGCGTGTCACTGGTGACGAACCCCTGCTCCTTGGTGCTCTCGATGGCTGCGAAGCGGCGGCGGCTCGACATGGAGTCTCTGGCGCTCGAAGAGAGCGTTCAAAAGCGCATTGCTGCGTCGTATCTGATCAACTTTCGAGAGTACAGTCCGGCCGAAGCCGCCGCGGCCACCGGCTACACGCGAGCATCAGATGCAGCACTTTGGGCAAAGCGCCTGCGCTCTGCGTGCACGCCATACAAGCAATGGGGTAAGAGGCGCGGCCCTGCGCCCATCATGACCGAGCAGGACGCGGATGCGCTGGGCGAGGCGCTCTATGACGATCCAATGGGCACGGGCGTCGGCCGCGTGGCGTCCACTCTCAACATGCCTGACGTGAGCACGTCCACTTTATACCGCGGGCTGATTGCGCACGATTGGCGCGTTCAGCCGCCCGTGGGCGACCTTGGGCTGGAGAATGACGCGCCAAGAAGGCAGATACGTCTCGAATTCTGCAAGAGGGCCGCTCGACGCTCGCTTCACGTGAAGGGAACCTTCTCCGACTCAAAGTACTTTGGTGGCGGCGGCTCTTTTGTGCCAAATCCCTACGGCAAGAAGTGGGCGCGAGACGGCAAGCCCCGGTGCATAGATCTACGCAAAGCGTCCTTCAAACAGCACGTGTACGCCGCCATCACGCCGTACGGCGCGTCCGACATCTACTTTGCTACCGGGACTACCGGCATCGCGCACGGCTACTTGAAGGAGCGCAACGTGAAGAAGTCCGCGCTGAAGGCGGCCGCCCAGGCACTTGGCCTCGACGTGTCGGGAACAAAGGCCTCGATCATGGAGCGCCTCTTGCAGCATGCGGGCGGCGATCCGGACAACCCCAGCCTCGTCGCCCATCTGGGCTCACGCCCCATCCGGCCGGGCGTCGGAAACGAGGAATATGTGGATATTTTGCTTGGCCTCGGACCGTACAGTGGCCAGAAGGGGCTCCTGCGGGATTGCCAGGATAGATTTGCGGGGACTCGGTACGCAGACAGCTGGTGGTGGCAGCAGGATGGCGCGAGCGTGCACACGCAAGGCCACACCGCGAGGGGCGAGGCGACGGCCGAGGCGATCAAGTCGGTGGCGCCGAACCAAACCACGGACTGGCCGTCACGGTCGCCTGATTTGTCGTTGATTGAAAGCACTTGGGCATACGCCGAGCGGCTGCTGTGGACCGATTACAGAGACCAGTGGACCGACGCGGCTTCGATGCGCGAGGCGCTGAAGAAGCTCTGGCGTGAGCGCATCACGCCAGAGTACTGTAAGAACTTGTTCGGCTCGTGGGAGGGGCGGCGGCGGGGGTGTATCGAGGTGGGCGGCGGGAAAGTGAAGGGGCGTTAGTGTGATTCACGCATGCTCTCATGACAGCTGTAAAAATTCCGCCTCCCATGGTATGCGACAGCAAGAGCGATGTGTGTTCTGCCGCCTCACCAGTGACCGAGCGGGGGGCCGAGGGGCGGAGAGCTCAAGGTGGCGACGGAGCGCCGACGGCGGCGATGCGCTTGCGGATCAAAGCTTCGGCATGTGTGCTGGAGAGGGGGCGCCTCCCGTCCACCGGGTGCGATCCGGGTCGGCTATCGACTCGCTCTTGCGTCGCGGCGCTTTGCTACGGTGCTTGGCGGGAGTCAGGGTGCGACGCCGAGCCCTCTCGCTCTGAGCGTCGAGGATCGGAGTCAAGACTGACGGTTCACGCTCTCTCCTCCCGCACAGAGTTCGCATTTACGGCCGTGGCGCCGCTACTACCCACCATGACGACGGTGGGGTCGGGGGTGGCGATCGGTAGTCCGGCGATCTCGAGTGCTGGTGGCGGCCGATCCGGTCTCGAGGGGCCGAGAGCTCAAGGTGGCGACGGAGCGCCGACGGCGGCGATGCGCTTTCGGATCAAAGCTGCGGCATGTGTGTTGGAGAAGGGGCGCCTCCCGTCCACCGGGTGCGATCCGGGTCGGCTATCGACTCGCTCTTGCGTCGCGGCGCTTTGCTACGGTGCTTGGCGGGAGTCAGGGTGCGACGCCGAGCCCTCTCGCTCTGACCGTCGAGGATCGGAGTCAAGCCTGACGGTTCACGCTCTCTCCTCCTTCACAGAGTTCGCATTCACGGCCGTGGCGCCGCTACTACCCACCATGACGACGGTGGGGTCGGGGGTGGCGATCGGTAGTCCGGCCATCTCGAGTGCTGGTGGCGGCCGATCCGGGCTCGAGCGGGGCGGAGAGCTCAAGGTGGCGACGGAGCGCCGACGGCGGCGATGCGCTTTCGGATCAAAGCTGCGGCATGTGTGCTGGAGAGGGGGCGCCTCCCGTCCACCGGGTGCGATCCGGGTCGGCTATCGACTCGCTCTTGCGTCACGGCTCTGTTGCTACGGTGCTTGGCGGGAGTCAGGGTGTGGGACGCCGAGCCCTCTCGCTCTGAGCGTCGAGGCTCGGAGTCAAGACTGACGGTTCACGCTCTCTCCGCCCGCGCAGTGTTCGCATTCACGGCCGTGGCGCCGCTACTACCCACCATGACGACGGTGGGGTCGGGGGTGGCGATCGGTAGTCCGGCGATCTCGAGTGCTGGTGGCGGCCGATCCGGTCTCGAGGGGCCGAGAGCTCAAGGTGGCGACGGAGCGCCGACGGCGGCGATGCGCTTTCGGATCAAAGCTGCGGCATGTGTGCTGGAGAGGGGGCGCCTCCCGTCCACCGGGTGCGATCCGGGTCGGCTGTCGACTCGCTCTTGCGTCACGGCTCTGTGTTGCTACGGTGCTTGGCGGGAGTCAGGGTGCGACGCCGAGCCCTGTAGGAGCGCTTGCCGTACCGCTCCTTGCTCTTCCAGACAACAAAGGATCCTGCAGCTTTGGCCGCATCTGGGATCACACACGAGTCGGTGAGGCGCGTGCCGCCCTTGATCGAGTCGAGGCTCATCGCCCGATCCAGCAGAGCGCCGCCCCCGGTGACCCAGCCGAGCACCGCACGGAGGGTGTCTGCGGCGGGAAAGCCTTTGGCATCGAGCAGGCGTACGCGGCGTGCGCCGCGTGCCATCTACACGGTGTTTAAAAGCGGCGATCGCGGATATTCGAAGCTCGTTTTCTTTTTCTCGCTACGGCGTGTCCCTGGTGACGAACCCCTGCTCCTTGGTGCTCTCGATGGCTGCGAAGCGGGCGGCCGGCTCGACATGGAGTCTTCTGGCGCCTCGAAGAGGAGCGTTTCAAAAAGCGCATTTGCTTGCGTCGGAACCTGAATCCACCTTTCCGAGAGTTACAGGTCCCGGCCCGAAAGCCCGGCCCGCGGCCCACCCCGGCTTTAAACCGCGGGGGCATCTCA